CCACCTGCATGAAGCATACATTCTTATAAAAGGAAACAATAAATAAGAGAAATGAATACATATAGTGATAGAAATGAATGTTAAGGAGAAAGATGATCAGGAGAGGAGGGTAGGGAATATTGTTAGGATGACTGCAACTCTTGAAGTAACATTTGAATAAAAACCTGAGAAAAGAGGAAATTCACTTTCTGGACATGACTAACTAGTAGCAAATATTCTGTTTTGCATAAATAACTAGAAAACTGAACAAATATAAGAAATTGTTTAGACATGAACAACAGTCAGCATAGGACTGTGATTTCTGAAAGAAAACAAACAAAATGTTTTTATGGTCATGTACACTTTCTGCCTAAATATGCTTCCTGGCTCAGTAGAGAGGGGAAACCTGAATAGAGAATAATAGTCTTTTTGTGTTAAAAATAGACAATGGCATTTGGGAAAGCTAAGCCACTAGGATTTTCAGGAAGAACACTAAACATAAGGAACTACTCAGAAAAAGAGCTCTGAAAACCTGTTTAGGGTCACCCCCCAATCACTGTCTGAGTACTAAGTTATGCACCTATAGGGTAAAACACTGTGTCTGTAAACCAGTAATAACTACTGGGAAACTACAAGCCAACAATTTCCAGTTCAGACAACTGAGAGATATTTAAGTTCTAATTGGCTGGAATCAGAGGAACTTGCTGAATACCTGGATCATTCAGTAGAGACCGCCAAAGGATTGTAATAGAAAAGCTAAACTAGCTTTTGGGTAAAGGCTCGAGGGTGAGTGTGTCTAACACATGATCCACAGGCTATATAAGGGCCTGAAAAGCTAGTAATGTGGTCCCACAAGATCATAGTAAACTTTTAACATTATTATGTGAGTTTTAGTAATATTTTTCATGACTCTATTGCATGGTACTGATATAGGGGAAGGAAATTCCCAGCGTACTATATGTCTGGTACAAGTTCGTGTTCTCTAAAATTGAAGGATGAATTTTAGGAATAATGGAGGCTAAGAGCAGAATCTATTTATTGAGAGAAAGAAACCTTTTGTCTGAGAGAAAAAACAGAATAGGTCCTGAGTGAGTCAACAAAGACTCTGTGTTTTCCAGGGATTTTTATGGAGTAAAATCACAAAGTGAGGCAGGTCTAAGGTGGGCATGAGGTGGGACAAAACTATGGTCAACCAATAAGATTAATTGCACAGGTAAAATTGATTAAGCGACAAATAAGGGAGCGAGTCATGTAGCAAGTGGACATGCTTAAAGATCAGTGACTCTATAGGTGGTTGGGACAGTGACTCTTGGCTTTCTCAGGGTGATAGAGATCTATTTAGAATATCAGTCCTTAAGATGTGGGTATATTTGCTTGATCTTTTGTCTTGAGGCCTGGCTCACAGTGGAAGGTGTCTTCTCCAAGATTTCAAGATATCTGGTCTTCTGCATTGTCTCCTTTGAGAGCCTAGCCCTGTCTGACTGCCTATAATATTTCTATCTAACTCAGCTGCCTATAACAGTACTTGATTGTAGACTGCACAATGGCAACAAGTAGGGTAGGGCACAGTGTAGTGCTAAGGCCTCCTTTTTTGCCTGCCATATGCATTTGAATTAGAATCCAAGTTGTGGGAAACCAACCAGACAACTCTCCTTGACTCTCTTTGAAAAGAAGAGCAACTATCTCTATTTTGGATAAACTTGGCTCTATCTCCATGTATTGATAGGTACAGAGATGGCTATTTCTTTGTCCTTCTTTTGGATTTAAGCCAATATAAACTGGACTAGCTGAGGAGCTGATGTGTAATCTCTGAAGCAAAGCATCAGTACCCCGCCCAGTGACTCCTCAAATATATGGTTGAGGGAATATATGGGAAGGAGAGCCGTGCTACAAGTTGTCAGCTGGGACCAAGCCTCGAGAAACAGCCTATGACTTCCCAGGGCAGAAAGGATTGTGCATCAGAACTGAAGCTCCAAGCCCAAATTATTAGATACTAGCTCAGGTGTGTTATGCAGATTACTGTCTCTGCATTTCTTGCCCTAGTCCAGCTCTAGGTAGTCACTTATTTCTCACCACTGTCACTGTCACTTATGCCTGAGCCACTTCCTTCATGGAGATTTAATAAAACCTAAGTTGAGCTCTGGGTGTGATCTCTATTCTGGTAAACCACCATCTTGGCCAGACTTAGGACCCTTTGGCTCCCCATACCTGTATATATGTCTTAGTGTCTTTATTCTTGCCTTGGGTTGCACTGGAAGTGGTAGATAGAAATTAACTTACTAGAATTCCAGTAACTTGTCCTTGTCCAAATATAAACCTTTCTAGACTACAAGGACAAGAAAAGGTTCTCTATACGGAATGTCTCAGACGTTGCACATATTTGTGCAACTTGATGAATAAAACAGCCATCAGGACTGGCCAAGATTCCCCAACAGCCTGTGTGAGGGATATGGCAAAGGATGAAGGAAAAGCAGAAACAAATTTAGTAATTCATAAAATGAGATCTGGGAGTTCAGTGTCTAAGGATGGGCAGAGACAATGACACTGAGCTAGCCACTATTTATTTGGTGCACACAATAACTGGAGTGAGTATGGGATGGTTTAGAGTGCAGTGGTGACCTTAAACTGATGAAGATCTTATATTGATGAGGATCAATCGAGATGACTCAGAGGGCAGCAGTGATTCTATGCTGACATAATTTTGCCCTGGAGCATCACAGCATCATGGGACTATTAAGGCTCCATTAAGGCCTCCAGGATACGGCTTCAATTTGTAATTTGTGGTCCCCAACAAATAGTCAGGCATTAGTATTACCTACATGTGCATATGCCTGTGAAAGCAAGTGCTTATAGTTATTAAGCTGATGTATAAGTTTTATTTTATTGTTAAAAATTGGGCTTGTGTTATTTTACTACAACATAACATCATAGCTTATACAAACAAAATAAAATAACATTCTTTAAAGGAAAGAGTTAAAAATTCAGACTGTCAACAATGGGACACTGTGAAGTCCAATGTTCAAATAAAATGTTTGGACATGTAAAGGAACCAGAAAATATGACCTATAATCAGGATAAAAAGCACTCTATAGGAACAGATCAAGAAAACGAGAGGAACAGTGGAATCAGTAGACAAGATTTTGAAGAAACTATTGTAAATTATATTAAAAAATATGAATAAAAACATGAACCAAATCAGTAACGAAGTGCAAGTTAACACATAAAACTTCTAGAGTTTAGTAATTATTAAATTCTATTAACAGTTTAATAGCGGAACTAAAAAAGGTACTGTGCACCTTACCAGCAGATTAGAAAATGAAGAAGAAAAGATGAGTGAACTTGAAAATTTAGTAATAGAGATTATCTAAAGTGTGGCACAGAAAGGGAAAAAAAGAACTTCAGTATTTTTAGGACACTATCAAATGGTGTAATGTATGTACAATTAATTGGGGCATTAGGGAGGGTAAGGAAAATGTTTTGAAAAATTTCCCAAACTTGAAGAATATAAACAATAGCCCCCAAGAAGTACAACAAATCCAAAGTAGGATAAACACATTGAAAACAATACTAAGGCCCAGAATAACCAATGTACCAAGAAAAGAAAAAAAAAACCAAACAAAATCAGTGACAAAGAGAAAATATTAAAGAGATAAAAAGAGAGAATGCATTATAAGAGGATAAAGATGAAATTAATCATTTATTTCTCATTATATCAGAAGAACAACGTTAAAGTGACAAGAGAAAAAATCAGAATAGAGTTCTGTGCCTACTGTAAATATTCTTCAAAAATGACTGCAAGGAAAAGACACTTTCAGACAAGTAAAAGCTTAAGAATTTATATCAAAAATATTGCTTTATATGTTAAAAAGAATTCTTCAGGTTGTAAGAAAATAATACCAACTTAAATTTGGATCTATACCAAAGAATGATATATTTCTAGCTAGACCAAAACTGGGAAAACAGAAAGACACAAAGTATGAACATTAGAATGAAAGAGAACATTAGTATATATTCTTCTGATTTGCAAAGGAAAATAAGAGCTTTTTTTTTGGTATCGGGGATTGAACTCCTGACCTCATGCTTGCCAGGTAGGCACTTATGTCACTGAACTTAATCCTCAGCCCAATAAGATAATATTTAAAAATAAAATTTTTGCCAACAAACTTGACAACTTAAATGAACTGGAAAAATTCCTTGAGAAATACAAACTGCCTAAGTTTACTCAAGAAAAACATCTCTGAGTATCTATTAAATAAATTAGATAGTGTATGTGATTACCACCTTCCCCTCATAAATAGAAAAAAAGAGCCAGGTCAGGGTCATATAGATTCACTTGTAAATTCTGTTGAGTATAATAATAATAATAATAATAATAATAATATACAAATATAATATAGACTTATTGCAAACATATGGGATGAGGAAATTTTCCAGCTTATTTTTTGAAGCTGGTGCTATCCTAATGTTAGAATCAGTTAAAGACATTGCAAGGTAAGAAAACTATGAACCATATTCTCTTTGAAAAAAAGGTGCAGCTGGGCGTTGTGGTGAATGCCTGTAATCCCAGCACTTTGGAGTTTGAGGCAGGAAGATTATCATGAATTCAAAGCCAGCCTTGACTACGTAGTGAGAACTTGTCTCCAAAAAAGGTGTAAAAATATTCAACAAGTATTAACAAGTTAAAACCAAAAATACATAAAATATCACGACCAACTGGGGTTCATCCCAGCAACTAAATATTGGTTTAATATTTGAGAATTAATGTAATTCATTATGTAGAGTAAGGGAGGAAGACGTAGCATGTGCACAAAGATGCATTTGATGGCCCTTACCATTGAGGAAAGGCCCTTCCTTAGTGTGACAAACAGTATCTGCGAAAGTCTGGAACTAATATCGCACAATTCTGAGAGATCAAACACTCTACCTAAGATTAGGAAAAAGACAAGGATGTCTCGTTTAACCACTTCTGTTCAATTTTGTATCAATGTCACAGTCAATGACAGAGCCAAAAATAAAAACAAAAACATACCACTAATTATGCAGAATTATGTGCAGGGATTTTTCCTTTATCATCCTAGTGCAAACCATAAGAACAACAAATTGTTCAAGGTCTATCAGTGGATGCAGAAGTAAAGCTATTTTGATTTACAGATGAGACAAAGGGTATTAAGGAATCTACAAAAAGTTATTAGAATTAATATTAATTTAGCAAAGTCACAGGATAAAAGCTCAATTTGTACATACCAATTGTGTTTTTATATATTAGGAAGGAGAATTATGAACAACTCCTGATAATTGGAAAATAAAACAGAAAATTAATATTACTTACAGTAATGTAAAACATGGAATATTTATGGATGTTTCAGGAATTATGCATAAAATTATGTATGCACATGGGAAGTGCAACAGGTTGCTGGAGACTGAAGTAAAGCAAAGCATGAACTATGTTCACAGGTTGGGAGACTCTGCTGTTACCCAAAATCTATAGATCTATAGATTGATTGTGGGTTTTTTCTTTTTCTTGTCTTCCTTCTTCTTTTTTTTCTCCCTGATTCTGAGGATCAAACCCAGGTCTACAAGCAGGCTAGGGAAGTGACTTACCACTGAGCCACATCCCCAGCCTTTCAGTGAAATCTTTTTTCCCTCCATACAGGTGTACTCCCCAATTCAATCTGGGCTGCCATAAAGACAAACAGAAAGCGTAGGGATTTTTCCTTTATCATCCTAGTGCAAACCATAAGAACAACAAATTGTTCAAGGTCTATCAGTGGATGCAGGATCAGTGAAATCTTAAGCAAAAAGCCATCAGCCTTTTTCTGTTTTTGTAACCTTCTCAATTAAAGATATATGCTTATATACTTTAATATATATGAAAGTGAACAGAACCTAGAATAGTCCAAAAACTTCTGAAAGACAAAAATGTTGGAAGATTTACATTGATTCTAAGATGTAACAGATATGATGGCAACCAAGATGTGTTTTTTTTTTTTTTGTACGTGTGTTTCTCGTTTTTATCAGTACCAGGGATCGAACTCACAACTGCCTGCTTGCAAGGCAGGCGCTTATGCTGCTGAGCTAAATCCCCAGCCCCACAACCAAGATGTGAGAAAGGTTAGGGAGAAATTACGGAAGTCTTGGGAGAAATGATCTCACCTAAAAGAAGAGAAAGTTAAAAAAAGAAACGAAGGGAAAGTATAAGTAGCCTAAGGGAGGAGCATGATTGTTTGACATGTTTGAGAACAATGAGGGTACCAGTATGGCTGCAGCAGAAAGTAGCTGAAGATAAGGTCAGATGGGTGGTGGAAAGTCAAATAATTTAGAGCCATGTAAGCTTTCATAAAGACTATAGCCTTTATCCGAAGTTAGGGAGCCATTAGAGAGTGCTAAGAGAAATCATATGATCTCTACTAATGTTTTAACAAGAACATACTCGTTGCTATATTCAGAGTAGAATCAAAGGGCAGGAAAGGGCAGAAGCAGACAAAAAATTTGGGGGCTACTGCAGTAATACAGAGGTGATGATGATTTAAATCATGGTGGAGGTGGTGTGAGTTGGTTGGATTATGAATCCATTTTGAAAGTAGAGCTGACTGGCCTTGCTGATGATCGAATATGTGATGCGAGAGAAAGGAAGGAAGAAAGGAACTGAATAAGTTAAGCTTCAAACAACTGAAGACAAATTTATTAATTTTTGAGATGGGGAAGATTGTGGGAAGAGACATTTTGGAAAGACTAGATAAAATGCCTTGCTATAAAATTGCAAAGTTTGAGATGCCTATTGGACATCCAAATATATGTCACAGATATGACTCAGAAGTTCATGGCAGAAATTGAAATTAAGATATATTTAGGTACACAAGACCAGGTTAGATCATTTATGGGGTGAGTGAAAGTAGGAGAAGCATCCCAAAGCCTTCCAATCCTCATTTTGGGAAATTGGGGGGAATTATCAGAGAAATAGGAAAGAAAGCTTTGCCATAGGCAAAATATTCAGGGACACAGGCTGGCTACCAACTATGTTGGATTTCCTTGTCCCAAGGTTCCTCCACTGAAGACTTACTCATTGACACTAAGGATGGACCCTCTGCTTCCTTTTAAAGAAATCTTAGGGTTCAGGTGAAGCTTCATCCGTACCTTTCTAGCTTCACTGAAACCTTGAGGTAAAAAAGAGGAAGCCGCGGGTGCTGTCCATGGTGCTGACACGTAAGTGTTCCTTTACACCTCTTGAAAGCAACCTGCATTCCAACCTCAGATTTCAGGACTAGCGAAGAATCAACCAGTCTAGCATTACCTCTTGTGTAGTCAAAAGCTGAGGCCTTGGGTTTTGGTAAAAGATGATTTGGGGAATGTGTGCTATTTCCCACTGTGTTTAGAAATCATGTTATAGCTGCCTCAATGAGTCTGGCTTGGCAGGACAAACTGGAATAGGTTTCAAATCTAGGGAACAGGAGGGTTTTTAGTACAGGTAGCATGATTGGGAGACTATTCCTTCTGCTTCCATCTGAATTTGGGCAACATCCCAGGGCCAATCCTCTTTCCATTTTTCTAAGAGAAGCAGAAGATAAAAATAACAAAAGATCTATGAAATTTCTAAAGCTCCAGATCAGAGCACATGCATGTTAAATACTACAGTCTGATTATCAGTAATCCTTCCCCACTTGAACTTTGTTAAAGGTTCATGTGTATGGACTGAACCTCACATATATAATTTAATCAGAGTGGATTCAGGACTGGACATGGAAGCCTTTGAATGACTCAGCACTCTGTCAATCATTTTGTCAGTCTTTATCTAGAGAACTGATGAGAGGAAACTGGAATCAGGTAAGCATCATTTAAATTCCAAAAGCCTGCTCTGTGTGTGTGTGTGTGCGCACATGCATGTGTATTTTCTTGTAGTCCTGGCACCATTTTTCTGTTTGTGCCACCTTTGTGTTGGCATAGACCTGCCCTGAGCATCTCTTTTCATAATCTTCAATAAATGTAGCTGCCTTTTCTTTTATCATTGGATGTACACTTACAATTTTTTGCTTGTCATACACTAGAGCCTGGAATCTACCTGTCAGATCCATCATGCAGTATCATTCTGACTCAGTCACTCTCCTAGGTTCCAATCTAGGTTGGGGGCTCTTGGAGGTGGCTCAGGACTGACTTGGTTCCTGAGTCCTGTTTCTATTCATACCTACTTCTCACTCTGCTCAGTAATTCTCTTGAGCAACTTGTAGATCCACATTTTCTGGTACTTAGTCTTTCCATGTTAATTTTTTCTGTAAAATCCCTTTATGTTTTCTTGATCTGGATAAGTCTTAGGTACTACTCTATGTTCAGTTTAGGTGTACTTGTTTCCAGAAAACTGTCCCTGACCCCTCTCAAGGTACTTAAGTGACTTTTTCTTCTCTTTCTTTTAAATTGACAGTATGCACAAAACTGGTTTATAAATCTGAAGTTGTGACTCTTGCTATTGCTTTTGTTGGTCTTTGCATATATTGCTTTCTTTTTCTCCCTTTTTCTCTTCTGTCTCTGTCTCTGTCTCTCTCCCCAATCCAATCCAACAATTAATAATAATTTATATTTAAGTATCCATCCTCTTTCTTCATTCCCAGGTAAACACCATCTTGAAATTTATATTTTAATTTATTTGATTAAAAATATATTACCTAACTTTAAACAATTTTCATTGGCATTAAAATTTCTAAAATGGATAGCATGTTATATCAGTCTTCTGAGACTTGTTTTTTTAATTTTGTTATAATCTTACCAAGGTCCATTCATGCTGTTATTGCTATATGGGCTATATATAGTCACTCAATTTGGCTGGTATATAAAAGTATTCTTTTGTATAGGTATATTATAATTTATTTGTCCATTTTCTTGTCAATGAGCATTGGAGTTGTTGCTATTATTACAAATAATACTCCTGGAGATGGTGATAGGAGGCAATGGGCTCCTCCATCTTTTCAGAGCTAGCTTTGAATAAAAACTTTTTTCCTTTTTATCAAATGCCTCCTTTGATTTGGTCAGTGGCAAGCAAACAAACCCAAGCATATAAATTTAAGTAGTCTGTAACTGTTTTGGCAGAGCCAGCCAGGATGTAAGATTATAACAATTTCTAAGGGTTCAGGAGTCAAGGAAAAAGATTTCCAGGATTACAAAGAGAAGAACATTACTGATACTAATAATGACCATTCCTCTTGAGGTGAATTGCCAAAATGTGTCCCATAGACTGCAGCCCTTCCAGGGGGAGAACTAGCAGTGTCTCCTGAGATCTACGCCATGCTGGAACTTAGGACTCTGGGAAGCCAAGCCAGCACCTCCCCTCCCTGGTAAGCGGAAGCAGGGTGGCAGACTGCAACCCTTCCAGGAGGAGAACTAGCAGTGTCTCCTGAGATCCACGCCATGTTGGAACTTAGGACTCTGGGAAGCCAAGGCAGCACCTTCCCTCCCTGGTAAGCGGCGGTAGGGTGGCAGACTGCAGCCCTTCCAGGGGGAGAATTAGCAGTGTCTCCTGAGATCCACGCCATGTTGGAGCTTAGGACTCTGGGAAGCCAAGCCAGCACCTCCGCTCCTTGGTAAGCGGTGGTAGTGTGGCCCACTGCAGCCCTTCCAGGGGGAGAACTAGCAGTGTCTCCTGAGATCCATGCCATTTTGGAACTTAGGACTCTGGGAAGCCAAGCCAGCACCTCCAAAAAAAAAATCAATGTATATTATATGCAAGTTGCAGTACACCAAAATGTAATCCACTATTCTGTGCAATTTACATGAATTTATAAAATCATTTTCAGATTCTATAAAATAAAAAAATCTGTCCCATAGCCTCCAACTGAATCCTCAGACGCACCCAAGAATATGAACTGGAATCCAAAAAGCCATACTAGAGAGGTATGTGTAAAAAGAGACCAAGTAACTGCTAAGCAAGTAAAAGGAGGAATACAGAACCCTGTTTGAAAAAAAAAGATATTCTATCAAAGGCATCACCATCTTTCCATTCTCACAACTTAAATCTATTACCATTTTGATAAAAAAAAAACCAATATAAGCAACCAACAAACGGGGTGACAATTCTTGATTACCTAAATGGTCACAATGTTTTTTGTTTTTTGACACAGAGTTTCATTTTGTAGCTCAGGCTG